AAATACTTTGATTCAAGGTAGGAATAGATACATATTTATTTTTTACTCGTTTTCTTAGAGTAGGTTTGAACATATATAAGACAGATTTCTTAAGAATTTTTCTATTGAAAAAAAAATAGTAGAAAAGTTTCTCAAAAAAACCCGTTCAAAAGCTTTGCTAAATTAAATAATAGAAAACTTTTTATTCCACAAGTCTTAAAACGAATCACTTCCAATGTCTCGAGTGGCCAGAATCAATATTTTCTTTTTAATAATCAATATTGTTTGAGAATTGCTCTGAGAATATCACATCCTCCATTGTGTTTAGTTATATCAAATCTTCAAAGGAATTTTTCTCACTTTATAACTCTTAATTACAAATAAAGTAAAAACCAACTATTACACAATTTTTTGTAGGAAATGCATTCTTCTATGTTTTTGCATATGTATAAGGTGAATAAAATATTATATATTATATATCTTATACTGTAAATATTTGATTTTGATTTGGCCACAACAAATTTTATAAACAGTTCTGAATATCCATAAATGGAAATAAGAAAGTGTTTGATTTGTTTAAGAAAGTGGGTGTAGAGTCCTAGAGTTCAATAATATTACAATTATAATGTAACATGTTTTTTCTTGTGGGAGCTGACCTATCTGATTAAGAGTTTATGCAGAGAGATCTTTCAGAAAAACATTATTAAACGAAAAAACAAACCTATGAATAGGAGTTAGCTAATAGCACATTAAGTACTTATAAAGGCTATTGGGGGTTCTACTTAGTCTCTTTTCATGGTGATTATTATTGTTCTAAGTTCCTGTGCAATGGATCATGTGAATCATGCTAATATTATATATGTGCAAAGTAAACAAAACATATAGGCTTGAAACTAGTGACAATTAAATAAACCAAACACTGCAAAGGGATATCTCTGACACACATGGCTGCATCAAATGCCTTGATCTTTTACCTGAGAAAATAAAGGGTTTCTTTTGCCTTTTAAACCCTCAAGTAGATGCATAGCCTTTTCATTAGCGTGGCATTATAATATAATTAATGGTGGCTCAGAAGAGTTTGTATATTAATTAATGGTTGAGAATAACAAAAATGGTATTCTTTGATTATAACCTTAAGTATTGTTTACATGTGCATGTTTTTGTTAATAATATATCTATCATCTCCTTTAACCTAAAGCAAGATCCCTATAGCTGTTTTGGAGTTGACTGAGAGAATGCACTAATTATTTTATCCGACAACAGGCCGCAAACCTATTTTCTGGAATTTTATTATGGTCTTAAGTTCAAGTTGATACACACCATCTACAGTTTTAACTTTTTGGTTTCTGTTTATTTTTGTATATGTTACACATTAACAAAGGAGCATAATTAGGAACAATTACCAATGTAATTAACATGCACGGCATAATATTCAGAATAATATATATTAATCCGAATAGATCATGATTAATGGAACTTATACACCTCTCTGGTGAAGGAGGTTTAAATCAATAAGGTAAATGTATTAGTTTTCTTGGTATTGCATATATTGAACCATGCTAGCAGAAAAGCTTAGTAAAGGAAGGAATGTGCAGACAATATTAGAACGAAAGTGAAGGTTAAAGAATGAGGTTAAATTTTTGTGATTGCATTACATAGAAGATGGCATCATGCTATCGCAAAGGGATTGGATGTTATTGGTTTTGTACAGGAGGAGGAAAGGACTAGGCTTGATCTAAGGGATCACAAGGACCCAGGGTTGATCTGCCTAGAACCCTTTGTCAGACTCGAACGTGATGATGTCCACCAACAATGGCCTAAAATCTTTCTCATTATAACCTGTTGCATAAGTAGTAATTACCTATATGACAATTCATACTACTAAGTCTCTAACATACTCATAAGTTGACCATGTAACATATGTGAAACATCCAATCAAACCTTCTTTCAATGGAAAATAGGGGCAGCCAACAAGTCTCATTGCCTCAAAGCTGGAGTGCAGAGAAAAACATGTATCTTTGAGGGGCCAGCCCCATAGATACTAATGCCAATGTGGGGTGTGTTTTGTTTCATATTTGGAATCAATTCTCTTTCAAATTTATGTGTACGTAATTATTTACAGAATATGTTCAAGAATCATGTATATGTCATAGGTCTGCATAAGCAAAAGGAGTTAATCAGAATGCTTAAGCCTTGATTATTAGAAGTTCAGAGATTAAAGTGCGTGTCAATTGTAAATCATATTTCTAACATATATATGAGAAAAACACACGTGAGATATTTGTTAAAACCTTTTACAAGCCAAAGTTTATTGATGGAAATACAAAGGGTGTGCTTATACACAAACAGTACTCATGCATACGCTTTTCTCTGTGTGTGTGTGTGTGTTATGTATGTATACCAACTTTAAATAAAGCTACAGGCATATATGAGTCATTTGACTGGATATACAGCTCCTCCTGTAGTTATCATTTCTTTGTTGAAAAGGGAACAGATCTTATATATAAACAATCTAGCCTGAAGAAATCATCAAAAGGCTTTTGTGTGCACGCTTGAAAAGGGTGTTCATGGAAGAGCTAAGATACCATAGTAGTTATTATGTTTTGGTTTTCTGTTTAAATATAAATTCAGCAGAGAATATTACAAGATGATAATTTAAAGATTCTCCAAAAGAATAGGTGCACATTTAGATGGTTCATTTGAGAACATAGTGTGATGATGAAGTTGGGAGGAACAGTGGAGTTTGATGCACATTTTACATAAATGATAGGGAAGTTTACTTTGATGCAAGAATTGTTGTGTAGGAAAGGTATATTCCCTTTTGCAATTGAAAACCATTCAAATATAGAAATTTTAAAGGATAATGATCTGACGGGGTGTTCTATCATGTCTCTCTTACCAGCAAGGATATTTTCGCCTTTCACAATACTATTTAACTTTATGGTAATTTGACAACAAAGTTACTATCTCGTGTTTTATGTGTCAAATTTACTCTTACCAACTAAAGGAATCAAAGTATCACATTGTCACAATGTCACAATGTTTAGGCATTTATGGATTCATTGGCAAAGAAATATCTCATGTTTGTTGTACATCATGGAGTCAATTGTTAAGTTTATATATTTACATAAATTTCAAAAATTGATTCAACTAAAAACTCATTTTGAGATAACTCTTTCATTACAATGTTATTTTTTGAAAAATGAAAGATATATAAATGTTGTAGACTTTGATTTTGTAGATTCATAAAGAAGTATAAACTTATTTCCCCGATAAATGAACATAATCTCATTGTTTCAAACTTTAAAATAACTTACTAGGGTTAGCCTAAAGATCATATAAAATATTCAGTGTTTTGCATGATGTTTTATAATTAAATCTTCTTCTCTTCGTACATAAAAAGAAAGAGATCATACTTAAAATAAAGTTCAAGTTGGAGATTAAAAGTAAATGACAACTAAGCTAGGCCAAGTTGAAGTTGAGAGTTAATGTTTGAAAATATAAAAGTTGAATTAAAGATTATACATGAAATATATAAGAAGATATAAATGTTTTGCATGGTAAATAATAATCAAGAGATAGCAAGATGAATGACAAGATTTAAATATTATATGTACCATGATATAAAATTTTCCAAAAAGATTCTTTTACTATTGCTTTTAAAGCATCTACTACGAAATAAAAATATTATTTTATGGTAAAGACCAACTCACGGTAAATACATACATTGAATATACTAACTAGTGAGTTTGAAGTGATATGTGACTACGTGGCTACTTCTTTTGCTTTTGTTTTACCTCAAATTATGTTTATATACATGCTAAGGTATTTGCTAGTGTTCATCATGACTAATGGAAGTGAGAGACTTTAATTGAAAGTTAGAGGCTTTTTACTGTTTATGAATGGACCCAACCACAAAACATCCCAAAAAATCATACTTGGAATTGACTGAGACCTTCCACGTGTCTGTCCACTTTTTATGCATTAGTTGAAAGTACTATTCTACACTTGTCTTTATAGCCAGAATATTTGCTCTCTCCCCTTCTCAGTTTTTCTTTTTTTGAAAAGAGAAAAAGAAATCCTTGGAGGGGATCAAAGGTTGAAGTTTGTTGTTGGTTAATGTTAGTTATTACCAACTAACCAAACCTCTTTAACTACTACTTACGATTCCATTCGTATTTCAAAAATGAATCTTTCATGAATTTATTTCTTATCTTACATTAACGAATTTATCAAATTTTTATTACCTATTTGATTGAATCATTTATATGTTTTTACTTTTTCACCAGTTTTAATGAAAAAAAAAAAAGTGACGTGATTTCAATTATTTTAAAAATGAAAAGGAATTTGAAAGAATACTTTAAATTTATCCTATTTTATTATTCCATCTTTATTTGTCACTTACTCGTTCAATGAATGTACTCTACTTAATTATTTTGTTTCCATTCTTCTAAAATATAGATTTCACAAACCTAGATATAACTAATTGTTTCTGTGCCTTTTTACATTAAACACTACATATTACAAGTGATTTTTATAATTGTACTTGAATTTTACAATTCGATAAATACTTAGTTAATATATATATATATATATATATAATGTATTTAACCCACTACCCCAACACAAATCCTTGTGAATAACAACCTTTATTCCTCAACTTTCTTGCTGTCCATAAGTAGAGTTGCTCCATATGAGACCCTCTTGCTTCCCGCTTTCTACTCCATTGAAACAAAACCAAAGTTCAAAATCTCACCCTCAGTTTGCTGAAGCAAATTAGGCCTTTATAATAACCTTTTTCCAAAGTCCAATATTGCTGAAAACATCAAATTAGCCATCATCTCAGCAACTGAATTCTTCAGAAGAAAAGAGTTGTTTAACTAAATGAGTTGAGTGTTTTCTTTTACGGTTTCGCTTTGGAATAGCTTCAGCATCCCCTAAATCTTAGTAGGCTTCAATATCTTGAAATAATCTACTTACCCTCCAAACACTCCAACTTCAGTTTTTTCTGGGTGTTCTTCATGGACTACTTGAAGGAACTAGAAGGCAAAAGTGTCCATGATTGTTATCACCAGATAAAGATGAATAAAATGGCAAGCCCTATATTCGTTCCGGGACCAGTTATAGTGGGAGCTGGTCCCTCAGGACTAGCTGCTGCAGCTTGCCTTAAACAGAAAGGTATTCCTAGCCTCATCCTTGAAAGAGATCAATGCTTAGCTTCAATGTGGCAGTTCAGGACCTATGATCGCCTTAGACTTCATCTCCCAAAGCAATTCTGCCAGCTCCCTCTCATGCCATTCCCCAAAACCTTGCCTTCCTATCCAACCAAACAGCAATTCTTGGCCTACCTAAAGGCCTATGCTGATCATTTTGAAATAAAACCTGCCTTCAGCCAGGAAGTGGTCACGGCTGAATATGATCATGTGTGTAAGCTTTGGAGGGTCAAGACTCAAGGTCGACACAAAAAAGAGGAGACAGTAGAATATATTTGTCAATGGCTTATAGTTGCTACTGGAGAGTGTGCTGAGGAAGTATGGCCTCAAATTGAAGGGATGGGGGAATTTGAAGGGACTATTGAACACACTAGCTCGTATAAGAGTGGAAGCAGGTTCTGTGGGAAGAATGTTTTGGTGGTGGGGTGTGGGAATTCAGGAATGGAGGTTTGTTTAGATCTCTGCAACCATAATGCTCATCCATCCTTGGTGGTTAGAGACACGGTGAGTTTAATTACTTACCATGTGTTTGGGGAGAGATTATATCTGAAAAATAATTGCTTTTTTGTTTCAAAATCAGCTGACAAAAAATATACTGTTTGTTTTGTTAAACTGAACGTGCACTTAAACTCATGATATGCAACATGCCAAAAAAATTTCACATAGTAAAATAATTGACATGTTTATACACATTAAAGATATTAAGTTTGGTGTACTGAAATGAAGAAATTCTATGCTACACTCCAAAATTCAAGGGTTTTGGAACTTTTTATTGAGAAATTTTCTTTCTTTCTTGATGTACTCATTCATTTAACTAATGGTTTAGTACCAACACCCTTACGTTTCTAATGATATCACAGCGCAAAAGTAAAAATTATCTTAGTTTGAGATGAAATAGAAAACACATGTATGTATGTATATATGTACATATATTTCTGAAATTCTGATGTTTATTGACAAAGCTGGAAAGTGTAGAGTGAACACAGTCTGCTAACATATTATACTATATTTGCTATATAACTAGAACTCTCAAAAAAGTTTGTGTCGTTGTTTTCTCTCACTTCATTCATTGTAAATGGTTTGCATGCGCAACAAGGTCAGCATCCCAAATCTTAGAAAAATATGACCTTCGAGTTCGAGATCAATCTTTTCTCTGCATACAACCACTGCGTGTCAGTATTCACAGACACCACTGGAAGCATGAAAAGATTATTGTCAATAGCCTCCTCGTGTCTACAATTTCCTAAAAAGTTTCTTAAGCTATGGCACTTTTTCACCCCACTTTTTTTTTTTCATTTTTAATGTGATCTTTTCTTTTCATTGATGCAGGTGCATATCTTGCCACAGCAGATGCTTGGGAAATCAACTTTTGGTTTATCCATGTTCTTGCTCAAGTGGTTCCCCATGCGTTTTGTGGATCAATTTTTGCTTATATTGTCACATCTCATGCTTGGAGACACAGCTCAATTTGGACTTCGCCGTCCCAAACTTGGGCCTCTAGAGCTCAAGAACTTGTACGGCAAGACACCAGTTTTGGATGTTGGGACACTGGCTCAGATCAAAAATGGAAAAATTAAGGTAACATAATAACACTACCCTTCTGCCAATCAAATCCAAAAGAACTCTCATCATACCTATCCTGTTTCCTTGTCTTAATAATCAACCAAATTTGTTTTTTTTTTCCTCTAAGGCAAAGGTTTAAAGAAAAAATAAAGAAAAGAAAAAATAAAAGACATTTTTTGTTTCATTGTTTCCAACATTAGATCTTGTCCAATTATGTGTACAGGTTTGCCGGGGAATTAAACGACTAGCACGCAATGCGGTGGAGTTTGTTGATGGAAAAGTTGAGAACTTTGATGCCATCATTCTAGCAACTGGCTACAAAAGCAATGTACCCTCTTGGTTAAAGGTGCTTCCTTTAACTCTTTGGTATTTGGCCTAATAAAAAGTTTATATTCGTTAAATTCAGTAAATAATCTTTTCAGCAACAATGTACAAATTTTCAAACTTTTTTCCAAACTAAAGCTTTTCTGTTGTTTAACAGATTTGGCGACAGTGTATGAAAAGTAAATTCTAATTAGTTAATGTTTTTTTTTTCTAAAAAAAACTTTATTTATTTTGAAAATTGTGTTCTAGCAAAGGTTGGCTCTCATGATTGATATAATAAATGGAAGTTATATATATATATTGATTGGGGTTGAAATTACTGTGAGCAGGGAAGTGACATGTTTAGTGAGAAAGATGGGTTGCCCAGGAAGCCATTCCCAAATGGATGGAAAGGTGAAAATGGACTCTATGCTGTGGGTTTCACAAAACGTGGCTTGCTTGGTGCATCAATTGATGCAAAGAGGATTGCTGAAGATATTGAACATAGCTGGAAAGCTGAGGCCACGCATGTATTGGAGTTCCCTTGTCCACTTGCATGATGTGGGAATTGAAAGATGCAAATGTTTTAGGATTAGAAAAAGAAAAAAAAAAAAGGGATGGCCTAGTCTCTTGGTGGTGCCTTTTATTTGACACATTGCTGTGTACCAAACAATTTCTCTCCCATTTGAGTACAGCATCCTCAAAAGGGAAAAAGGAGTTAATTAGAGAAAGAAAAGGGGTGAAAAAGAAACTAAAAATGTGAGGGCATATATGTGTGTGTATAGAATGTGTGATTCCCACAAATATCCATTTTCACCAAACTAGGGGATTGGTGGCGACCAATTTAATGTGTATTAATTTTTAGTTTGGATGAGTTGAAATTATTTAGTAGATGAATATTTTCATATATTACACATTTGTATATCTTGTACATTTTGCATTATATATATATATATATATATATATATATATATATATATATATATATATATATATCTACCTAGCTACCTAGTGGAGTTTTTTTTTTCAGAAAATTATAGTTTTTATATAGAAATTTGGCCTTGTTCTTTAATTATGAGAGATATGTATGAATGCATTTGGGTTGTAATTAATTAGATTGGAGCACAGAGGACCATAAAAATCTTAATCTGATGGAGAACATTGGAAAAAGGTATTCAAAAAAGAGAAAAAATGCAATGGCATAAAAAGAAAAGTCCATTAGACTATGGAAAGGTGCCAATTCCCATGAAGATGAAAGTGGCCCTTTGATTATCTATATTTATATAAGTTTTATGCAGGTTACTTTTTTCACAATATTTTACTTGTAAAATGCATTACTTTATTCGTTATCTATCTTCCTTGTCAATTATTTTTCCATCGTTATCACCAAAACGGACCACATTGCCTCTTCAAAGTTGAATATCCACAAAATGTCTTCCATGGTTTAGTTTGATTCATCTCTGTCAATGCCAACACCTGCATATTATTCAATCAATCACAAACTAAGGTTGAATATTCAATCCCACTCCGTGCTTAAACTTTGAATTCAAAACACAAAAACTAATTATAATTCATATGGGACACTTGGAATTAATTCAATTTTTTAGTCAGAATTTGGACCACATTATTCTTAGTGAATATATGTATTTTTCATTTAATGTTTATTGGTCTTGTTACTTATGAAATTTTATCACTCACACCTTTTTCTAAAATTTTATACTTGATGAACACGTGGATTTTCGTTATATTCTTTAAATAGAAAAATATTTAAATTTTTATGTAAATTTATTTTTTCATATACTATAAATATAACTTTTTTTACAGAAATGATTTCTAAAGAAATTATTATAAAAATAATTATTCATGAATGAATGATAGAATACAAAATTTACATTGTTAGACTTTATTTAATTTCTTATATATATCAAACTTAATTTTTTTGATATGAAATGAAAATACACATATAAGATAAATTCTACTTTACTTCGTTGTAGTAGTTTCACACGTTGTCAACATACTCCTCTATACTTTTTTTTTTAATCTTATAATTGCTTTCTCTTTGCATGTAGTTTAGGCTTATTAACCACAGTTTTTTTGGTGTTGTTATTATTAACTACAATTTAAACAATTGTTAGTTCAGTTTCATCTAATCGAACCAAAACCAACTAAGAGGAATTCAATTGTTATTCACTAATAAGAGGATGATTCTAACACTGTTACAAATGAAAAAAAAAAGTTTATAATGTAAATCTATATTATTACACAAGATTCTTGGATAATTTCACTTAACATAATTGATAAAACTCATCTGTGATCAGGACTATGATCAATTACTTCTGAGTATTTCTATATATAGTAATTTATTGCTTAGAGAAAACCCTTGGTTTTCCCTACTAATGAGAGGTAGTGGCATAGCTGCTACAAAATATTGCTAGAAAAGAGGTAAACCGCAAATGATTTGGATTCTCATTGAAAATGACAAACTTAGCTATAATGGAGATATATAGTTATTAAGATAAAGATACGTTGGTGTGTTTTATTCCGACCGAGTAAGAGTTGATGATGAGATTGTTATACACAACAACACAACACTAGGAATCTTAAGCCTTTGAATGAAGAGGAATAGGCATGATCAACAGTGAGTAAATTCCAACCTTGCAGAGGAAGCACCACACACAAATATAGCAGAGTCTATCAGCATCAATGGTTTCCTTTTCCAGTGGTACAATCCAAAAGAGGACCACCAAAAGTGTTCCTTGCTAATTATTGCATGCCCCATTTGATTTCTTAATTCCATCCTTAACAACCCCTTAATTCTCTCCCATCTTTATCTTCTTTTCTCCCATCCCTTATTATAAAAAAAATAAAGAAATAAATATTATGTTCATCTGATATCAAAGCAAAGAAAAGAGCCAACATATGAGCAATGATTCCTCAAGATAATGCTTCCATCTCTTCTCTTTTTGGATTTCAGCACGTTTCCTCACCCCACTAACATCTTTTTTTTTGGTTTTTATAGATTGACCCTACTAGCATTTAGTAGGATATATTGTTTCTTAGAAGAAGGGTTATTTATAACAGACTTTAATAAATTTCTTCAATTACCCTTTTACGGTAAAATAAATAATATTTTTTATAATAATTTAACTTATGGCAAACCTTTTAATTTTTAAGTAACAAAATATAATTTCATGCATTGGGATATGGCCTTCTATTGATCATATGTAAGGGAGATAAAAAATTGTTAAAACTTATAAAAAAGAGAACTTTAAACCGATGAAATAACTTGCACATAGTCATACCCTCACTTTACTAACACACTTGTTGAAACAATTATAATGCATCGTTCTCCACACAAACAAGAAAAATCGTTTGATTTAGTTAAAATCTATTTCCAGACATCGTCTTCACCACACTAATAAGGTATAACAAGCACACTTACAGAAAATTAAACCATTTCTATTTTTAAGCTCTCGCACTGACCAAACCACCAATTGTCAAATCAAAACATACACAAACTATGTTTTAAAACCATCATTTTCCCCTTTTTGACTGAAAACCACCTTAGTAGAATCGGGTATAATATGTTGGAACATAGTTATATAACCAGTATTCATATAAAGTTTATATATCTACGATATGATTAATAGACGATTTTCGTAAAAAATAAAAGAAAAATCCGTTCTATATAGTTCATATGTTACTACATGAACCAAATGAAGGCAAACCACACAACCAACCAAATCCCTTTTAATTATTTTCACCGTTAGACCATAACACAACTAAACTGTTCTTATTTTTTATTTATTTTTTGATAAATGTTACACGTGATTCCATACTAGAAAAAGATATATCCAACTTTTGACTTGTCTAGGTTTGATTGTTTATATACGGAGGCATTAAAGTGACAACCATCTTCAAACTAATGCCTTGAAATTTCTTATGATCAAAGGGAAGGATATCGAATTGATATTGTAGTGGCTTAATCCATCTATTTCAAGAAGAACTGTGACAGTGATAATGATAATGATAATGTATTGATTGTAATGAAGAGGTGTGATAGTGATAATGATAATGTATTGATTGGAACGAAGGTGGGACGGGGATGGCATCAGTACTGAAAAGATTGAGACAACCATTACACTCAAATTGAGATGATTATATGTATGCACTTTTAGGTCAAAAACACTTTTCAGATTGATGCTGAAATTTCATACTTTGAATGAACATACACATAAAACACATATTTGAGTGGATTTTGTTTTATATTCTACATAACGAAATCAACGACATCGATGTATTTAGCATCTGTGATCAAAATTGTTTAGAAACTTTGTAAAGTTATTATATCTTATGATAATCAAATTCTATACAATGTGCATGCAATCCTATTTTAGTTGTAAAGTCATATCATGCCAGTTACTTATTTCTTCTTTTAGCTTGGAAGGATATGTAGCAGTGGAACTTAGACAATCTTACTAAAGGTAAACATTTCACCATCAAAGTGCATCCAAGCTGTGTTACAATACCAGAATAACAACATATATAATCAAAAGAATCACATCCTAATAAAGGTATACAAAATCGTATAACGTCAAGCCCAAATATACAAATAAATACTAGAGTTAACTAACATATTAACATATATATAATCTCATCCTCTGATAGTTTTTCAGGGTTAGGATTTGTGGTGATGAAGTTAATGCAGTTATTTATTGGGAGGTACATGAGTCCAAACATGGTCCAAATCGCACGTGAAACCATAGAAATTTAATCCCAACTCAGCTTTCATATTGTACAATGCAGGTATGCAGAATGGATGGTGGTGCACATGGTCATGAATCCATACCATATATTTATTCACTGGCTTTAATAAACGTGGTCCAAAAGAAATTTATTGTAATAACCATATGATTGATGAGTGTGCTATATCTTTCTCTAGGACCATTTGCCATTAGTTTTGACGAAGGAATGCATGACCACTGACGAAGACTTTGTGTGATTACACTCACAATCGTTACTGTTTTGCCCAACTATTTATGGAGGAAAAGAAGTGTACGTAGAACTGTGAGCTAGCTCATATTCAACAACATGTCACTTGCAAATATGTCAGACATGCCTTTTGCTTATGATCTTAATCATTAAGTTACAACCTACAAGTCAAGATTCGTATCCAGATAAAGAGTTTTGATATTAAGAAATAAAATAATAGGAGTTTTGATGTTCAACACTTTTATCTCTTTTTTTTTTTTTTTTCATGTTGAGTCACTTGTTATGTTTTCATCTTTTTCTCTTTCTGGGTGTCTATATAATATACTGTTATTTCATCTTTCTTCTTTCATCTATTTACCGAGAGTTATAATTTTTCAACATCCATATATGATAATTACTCATTGTCTTCGTCAAAATCTCAGGGTTAGTGATGAAAATGTCATGTTCAACTGTCTATTCCTTTTGATGATGACAGATCAAGATTTTATATCATCATTTACTGCTTTTGAATAATAGATTTATCCTCTATAATAATCTTCTTAAGTTTGTGCCTCTCTTAATGTATATGCTTTCGTTTCTCTTTTTTCAATTCCTGAAAACCAGAATACACAATTAGATTTCATGTAATTCGTTTGTGGATAGTATTAGAAGTTAACAAATCTTGGACGTATATAGATTGAAGGCAACTGTAATTCGTTTATTGATAGTGCTAGAAATTAACAACATGGTTTGAAATGGACTTTCTTCAATTGGTAAGGATGTTTTGATAGTTATTGTTTTAGTATTTTTCTGTCGATAATCGGTGATTAATTTATATTGTAATTTTAGGATGATACGAACCATACTACCATTAAATGGAATTATTTAGAATAGTTTGACCAAGTGATGAATAAATTATTTTTTTATACATAAAAATTGATATATATATATGTATACTTTTTTACAACAGGTACGTTTTATTCAAACAATTGGGTTAAGATTGACAGATATAAAATAATATATATATATATTCCTAAATAATTAAGTTGTTTAAACAATAGTTTCATTATATACTATATTTTGTTATGGTTGCAATGTAATTAATCTCAATTTTTGTTTAGGTTTGTCTTATGGAGAACCTTGGAGTGTGGAGATCCAAGCATTTTGTTAGTTGCAGATGCAGATCCAAAGACAATTAGCATGCAAGTGAGACCTGCAAAATAAGTGGAATGGAATAGCCGTTCAAATTTTAATAGATCATTTTCTTGCTAAGTCAATTTCAGCATTACTGGAAGTGGAATTTTGAGATTTTGCTTAACCAATCTTAATTTGTTTCTTCAGAATTTTTCTTAACAAGTTAAAATTATAAGGACTGTTTTAAGTATTTTCATTGTAGACGTAATTAAAAGGTCAATCTAATTATAAGGACCTAAAAATATTAATTTGAACAAAAGAAAAAACATGCTAACCCTATGCATGAGTTAAATATTAGTCAACCCCAGATAATAAAAATTGTTTATTTCATAATTTTTTTTTGTTATAGTTACTGTTATAACTTATCCAATAAATACGGGCAAAAAGAAATTCATATTCATCAATGAATTTAAGCATAAATGCATGAGTTTTTTTTTTTTTTTTTTCAAAAGACTAAAACATAAAAAAATTCACCATTCACAAGTGTAGAAACCCTAATTAATACAAAGCAAACAAAAACTGATACATCATCAACTAAAGAAAGAGTGACGTGACAAACAATATTGCACCATTTGGGATAGAGGTTTGGCGGCTTAAGCAAGTATGATTAAACCCTAAAACAAGGTTGTCCCGGATCTAGGAGATTGTTTATGCTTTCATACATAGGCACAAGAACAAAATTTTGAAGACTTAATGATGGTCCTGTAGAAATTACTGAGAGATATTTGCCAAATGTATGCACACACAGAGAAAAATGGCCACCAGGGCACGATGGTTGCGAAGGTTGGCATGGAAACGGATCTTGCCTCTGCTCAACTTTATTACGTGTAGATGAAAGGGGCAAGACATGCAGGCTTGTGAGCGTGTGAGTGTGAGCATGACCATTCGTCAGATGCATTAGAGATGGAAAAAGAAAAACAGAAAAGTGATATACACATAAATGGAACCAAAGATTCTTGGGTACACACTATGTGAGTGTGTCACGTCGTTTACCTAGGTTACCATTATCTTCCACTATACAAAACTAACATAAAAAGGACCTCTTGGTGCAGCAACCTCTTATTGTTTTCAAAGCTTGAATCCGTGAATGGAAAGCAAATATAACTTTTTTAATACTAAACATCAATTGTGGATATATTTATATGGCTAGTGGAAGATAAGGTAAGGATAGTGCAGAAGGTCTAAGTTATTATTATATCATATACTTACTTTCTTCTTTATCTTCTTTTTTTTTTCTTAGTTTTCTCTTCATTTCTTATCACATTATTTATATATTTTTATTATACTTTCTTTTATATTCACTTCATATACTCAAATCTTTTTCCTTTAAAAAATATCTGTGATAATCTTGAGAGGGTAAGTGCTACATGCTGCATTATGAGATTTTTCACTTTCACAAATGGCTAGCTAGGTAAAAAGAGTGTGTTTCTTCAGTGAACTGTTATTTTTATACATTTAACTTCTCTTAAAAGTTATTTTTATCTCTTCTTTTATTTCTCTTTGCATCATTTGTCACATCTATCAATTTCTTTGGGTTTATCTTTCCTTATCTTTCTTCCTTCCTTCCACCCATACATACCATCTCATGTTTAACATTTTTCCTTTTTGAGAGAGTCTTCTTGAGAAAAGAATTTGTAGATGGGTACTGCTCATCTTTGTACACTCAGTAGAGAGGCTTTCTCTTGAACCAGCCAGCTAGGGACAGTTTCCATGGACCATGCATGCCACTTGCCACTTGTCTTGTACATCACTTACACCATTCCTCACTCCACATTTTCTGGGGATTCCAAACCAAAGATGTTGCATTCTATTTCCACTTTCGTGAAATCTCTCTATCTCTATCTCTCTCTCTCTCTCCACCTTCAGGGTTATATCATATTGGCTATTTGTCACACTGCTCGATCATAACGCAAAAGGACGTGTAAAAAATAAAGGAGGAAGCTGTGTGTGAATGTGTAGCAAGACAAAATAAAACAAACTTGCTCCTGTTGAGTGTGCTGACAAATCAAAAGCATGCATATATATATGAATCGTACAACTCCTCGACCAAGGGTCTTCTTGTGTTCCACGCGTCTTCTTCTGCCAAAGTCAACAAATGAGTTTCACTTTCAAACAACACGATAAAACATTTTTAGACATTGATTAGACAAAAGTGCATGCAGTTAATTCATTTTTCTAGCAGTTCTTAAAAGCTGTTGGACCGGGACTTATTTTGATCACAGAAAATCTCGTTTCCATTATAGAATGTGCATTGGATGGGGTCAATTCATAGCTCAAATTATCTCATCTGTTGAATTTGTCTCGAAAACTGTGACTTCCCATACCAGTTTGTTTATCTTCTTTCATCTTTTATGCACAGTTCTAGCTAGATGTGAAGAATCCTTGACAATAATGGCATAGTAATAGAGTAGGTGGACAATATCTTAGTCAGCAATATTGTGTATCTTTCACAAGTGTCATGAAGTCTTAAATTTTTCATAAATTTTGATATTGTTTGAGTGCTTGTGTACGAATTAGAGGTAGCTAGCTAGGGGAACTTTTCATTGATTGGATGAAGGGGAAGTGACCATCTATCATGCAAGCTCCATTAATGCCTTAAAGTTAGATAGCAGTACTATGTGGTAGCAATGAGGTCAATTGGGCAATGATGGTAGTTCTGTCTAACATGCCTTAGATACTAGCTGGCTAGAATAATATTCCTTGAAAGCATATCCCTAAATTGACTCCTAGCTACTTCATTTTACCATAAGATAGCCATTTGAGTGAGACAGTAGTGAAAGTCTAGGCTCCTCAATCACCTACTGTTTGTTTGAAGGGGGAGACACCAACTCAGTAGGGGGGAGTCACTTTTGTTAGTGATATTGACCCCATATTCTTGGAATATCAATGGATACTTGTGGAATCTTCCTTGTTTGAAGAATGAGGCAGGTGCACATAAGAACAATATATCTCCTGGAACATGATTGGCATGTGTGAAGATGAGATGGGATCCACCATATATGCATGCCAAGTTGAAACCTTTAATTCTGTACTTGCTTTACTAGTCATGCATTCATCTTCTTGGACGTCTCTTCCAACTCCATTCTCTGTCTGTTCATCTTTTTCTTTCATTTACACACCATTAATTCCCCCATATCACACTATCCAATTGCACATGCCATGCTTCCCTCTATATATACGTTAAGGGCTACCACAGCCCAAATTTGGGAACCCAATAAGAGAATATTGGGCCTCAAAATTCTGTACTAATCGTGGGCCTATAGTTTGGTCTATAGGAACTCATACACCTAGAGCACAGTTTGCCAAAGGAAATTTTGGGCCGAAGGAGTTTATTTAGTAGAAGAAATTTATCCATACCAATAAACCTTTGAAAGTTGCATGTGTTTATGATATAGAGTACTAAATTAAACATGCATTTATTTCATCTCAATCTAAAAATTTGTTGCTTCAGTACCTTTAAATATAGTGGATTTACTAATAAAAATATAGTAAATTTCTTAATATCTCGTATTTTTTAATCTACTGTTTGACAATGTTAATTAACTTTACACTGAATGCTTAAGATTCTATGTTAAAAGATAACTGGATGAATATTCATGTAACGATAGTACACGAAAGACTTATATTTCACATTAGATATATTTTCTTAGAGCATCTTCATCTATTTTTTAATTGGAGAGTTTTTTCACTTTAAATGTCAGAATATTTTTCTCAGACATGCTAGTATGGTTAAATTTTTTTTTTAAATCTCATATTAAGGAAGATAACATATTGATATTCTAAGACTTTTTATTCGACTTTTATAATAATATTTTGGTGCTTATCGTGGTTGGCTGTGTCGAACCTGATTTTTATTTTAGCCCATTAATGGTTTTTGGATTAATGAAAAAAAATTAAAAATCTAAATCAAATCAATCGAATTAAATTGTTTAAATTTGATTTTATCATGTGAAGAGTAACAAAAATATATGCAAACCACAGGCAGTTACATGTACTTTGGACGAGCAAGGATGCATGGCCTACAAGCCTTCCTTCAAGTTCCTACCACTCGTACAGATGAAGCAGATTACTCAGTTATTTCATGTTGCATCTCAGTCTCAAGAAAAAACAATTTTTGAAAAATTTACTCTTTTGGGAAACACAGCAATTTCCAGAAAGCAATCTGAACTACTTTCGGAACAAAGTGTTTGATCATAATTAATGTCAATGAAATAATAAACAAAATAAATAAACCTTTGAATTATATAACAAAACACAAATAGCTATTACCATCCACCAAATTTAAGGTCAATAAACACATAGAATCAACTCATGAAAGCGTCATGATCTTTAGAGGATCTCAACAAGTTAAGAAACAAGACAAAGCCAAACAAACCTAAGACCTCTCACTGATATCTTAGCTTGTTCCTAGAGTTAACACTGCAAGGTGAAGCATGCCTCATAGATGGACCAAACAACTCTGAGTACATTTCCAAGAAGAATTTATCCACAATATCAAGATATGCAGGACAAGTGAGTCTAGAATAATAATGAAGAACCTCTTCAATGTCCAATATATATTCAACGTTGCTCATGTCCAACATCTCCAACTCCCTCAGTTTCTGTTCCACCATGCAGTATCTGTGCTCTTTCATACACATAGACATGAATGACGACTCTTTCTGATGCCTTCCCTTTTCAAGAGTTAAGATCCTCTTGTTGTTTTGGTTGTTTCCATCATCTTCCTCTTTTTTCCCCACCTTGTTCTTCTTCTGAGCATGGCTTGCATTGGACAAGCTAATGTAGCTTCCACTATAGACTTCACTTTCTTGCTTTGATGGCAACCTAGATACAGCTTTCTTCTTGATTCTTCTCCTTGCTTTCTCAGTTTCTGACTCCCATTGGTCTGAGAAGTCAGTGTACAATTTCTCCATGTCTTGATAACTTGTGTTACTGGTCATGTCCATGGCACTTGATACAGAATGTGGAGAAGCTTTGGGAAGCCTTTGATAACCGGGGGAGAAGAAAGACTTGAAGTTCTTTATAGTCTTTTGAAAGAACTTCTTGGTGCTGGAAATGGAACTTAGCAACATTGGTGACGGCAAGGGTAGCACTACTACTTCCAGAATGTATATAATTAACTATAAATGAGATTTTCTGGTTGGTACCTTCTGATGCAGATAGAGGACACAAAGTTGTATCTACCTGTGTGAGAATGTGTAAATGTATCTCTTTTTAGGTGATGATCTCAGTGAAGTTTTCTCTATAAAGTTGACACAAGGAGAGGAGCCATTAAAGGGACTTTAGTTTTTCCTTTTGGAAGATCAATGGATATGAGGATTTCCCTTTTCTTTCCTTTGCTTTTTGTTGTTCTCCTTTGTCTTCTTCGGATCTCTTGTGTTGTCTCATTTTCTTTTTCTGCTTCCAATCTGGACCCCACAATCTCCAAACTTGGAAGATAGTGACCCTTTTTCATCATAAACAAGTTTTGCAAGTTTCGTTGCCTTTACTTTTGATGGTGGAGTTGGTATGTAGCCTCCTTGGGAAAATGAAAGGATGGTGGTTGTTGAATTGGTCCTTTCCTGAACAGTTCTGCTCCTACATTTTATGGCATCTTTTCTCCTAATCAGTAATCACTAATCACATCACTGTTTGTCTTAATTCATCATGTTTCATACCCGTATTCAAATGCTATACAATATGGTTAATCAGAAGCTAGATCTTTGAGTCCATATATGTAAATATCATGTCATTTAAATAGTTCTCAAATAATGTCTCAAAGAGGGTACCTGCTTTGAACAAAAGAAAACGTATTGGATTAGTACTTGAGCAAAGTACAATTAACTACCACTTTGTTTTGACAAGTTGATACTGTAAGTTTGAACACAACTGCACTAGTGAAAGAAAAATCTTGTTTGACTACAAATTTCTTTGATGCATATTGTTTTTTTGTAAGGTCTGTAACTTCCTACATGTGACTATGTGTAGTGTACGGTGATTCAAGCACTGCATATCAGGTCAATTTCAAGTTCCCAACGAGCAAGTCATAAACAAACATTACTCCTAACAAATTTTATTCTAGTACATATTTTTTATAATTTTATTCAAGAAAGATATAGAAGAAAAGAAAACACCCAATAAATAGATGACATAGTATAAAAAAATGAATAAAAATAATATAACTCATTTATTTTTTCATAAGTAAGAAGGAGTAACAATGTAATGTAGGTGTGCGGTTCCATGTGATCTAGTGAGTGAGTTAATTATATACACACTGAAGCAAGTGATTCTAATGAGTTAAAATGTAATAATGGAAGAAAAGATGGGTGTCATAATAAGGTCAAAATCAATTATCTTCCATGCGAAACAACTGCATGTGTACTGTTTGTTATTCCTTTTTATTTTCATTTATTTTTCTCTTGTCTTTGTGAAATCACTGTTCACAGGTGACATTTGGAAACAGAACCTTTTATTCAGTTGCTGCAAGACTTTATATTGCTGTCAGACCTTATGTTTTGATATTTTTAGTTATGCTCATTTGACCAAACCTATGATAACAATGATTAAATAAACAAAATTTTTTTATAATTATGTAATATCTTACTATCATTTAATGGATAAGTATTAGATCATTATTTGGTAGTTATAAATTGATAAAATCATACATGTCTTACTTGTTAGTGTTATTAGTGATAACTGAGAAGATATTAAGAATTAAATTATCACTTTTATCATTCTATCCACCTTATAAATAACAGAACAAAAAAATTCTGATTTATTATAAAATATTAAATTAACAAAATGATATTTTTATTCATTTTAATTTATTTTAATCATTATTTACACGTCTAAATAAATTCTAAAAAATGCACTCTGTTTTTCGTCCAAAAGTAAAAGATATTTATTTCTTTCATTTATAAGTTCTTTGACTAATGATCTAAAAAATCAATTTGTATTCCTCTTGTTGAAATCATAGAAAGTTCTTCATTGTTGAAATCATGGAAATTTCTTTTTCAAGGTCATAAAGTAGTTATTTCTATCTTATACACATCAAAGGTTAAGGAAATTATAATAAAACTTGAGAGAGAAAAAATCATTTAACAGTTCCACTTTTTAAAGTAATCTTCTTCAAAGTGTGGGAGTAAAAAATCTTGTAAATAAAATAAATAAACATTAGATGAGACTTCTTGAAAAATGGGTCAAACACCTTGTTCTGAATTTTAATTGTTGTTAACATCTATTTTTAATTGTCATGGATTTGATGAAGGGTGTTGACAAATAGGTCATTCATCTCCTCCATTATTTCCAAGTATTGGAGATGCGTTGTCTTGCATGTTTGGTTAATGGTTTTGATATTACAGCTATTACACATGCAGAATTTGGACCCACAATTTTGATTCTAGTAGCACACGTTCTGATTTTGGTCCCATTTAGTTTTTTGTCTCATTTTATTTCATGCTAAAACAGATGGTTCTCAGTGTGCATCTTATTGCAAATTTATCCATTTATTGGTGTTGGTAACCTTTTGGTTTTGACTGATTACAGACTGTGATAGTATCTTTAATTATAAACTAAAAAATAAACAGTTCTTTGTCACTCGATGTTTTCCTTCTGCATGATTACAAAACAAAGTAGAGATAGAAAATAGAAACTTTCCAAGACTAAATGTAGTGCTATACATAGTAAAATACAGACCATAACTATTAACTAAACAGTTAATAGTGGAAGGTGATTAAGATAGGGAACAACTAGCCACTTGTCTGAACCAAAATTTGACCAAGACTAAGCAACAACACATCAAATCTGATAAGGGTACTAACAGATAGGCTAGCCTACAAGCCAAGTTTGAACATTAGTAGAAATGGGCCACGCGTATAGAGTTTGGAACCTGTCTGCATCACAGGAAATAAGGTACATAATGTTAGTGTATATATAGTCTATAATAGAAATATACTCGTGCTTAATTCTTAAGGGTACGGTTTATACATTACACACATGGCACTCTATGTCTTTTTTTTTTTTTTTTTTCTCTTTTAACCTATTCTCAACAACTATATGTATCACTATCCTACCCATTTTATATTCATCAAACGACATGGATCATTTTCTGATAATCACCTTGTGATTCAGAGACATTCAATTTTTCTTAAAAGAATAAATAATTGTAGGGTGATCAATTCAGATGTGTCTATGCTTTGTTGTATTTATGAAATCTTACCCGTGACCAATTGTATTATTTGTCTTTGTCTCAGGACGTTGATGGAATCTTCAGGGACAATGTCCGTAGGATTGGCATCTGGGTCATGATTTTGTTCTTCATAAAACAAAATTCAGGTTATAGATCAGATGTTACATCTGAATTATGGTTCATTGCATTTGCCTCTGGGTCCTAGCAAGGAAGCATTAAATTTCTGATTGTTTGAAGCTATTCTGAACTTGCTCTCAAATTGATGTTAGTTTTGAACGTGGATATTCATTCTTATAATACAGAAATCCATGAAGAGTCTTTCTCATTGTGAAGTGACTTAACAATAACAAAATATCAGATTATTATGGGCATGTACTCATAGAACAAATTATTAGATTCCTCAAAAAATATATTGTCCAATGAAACAGGGAAGCTCAAGTTCCAAATTTCAAAGAATTTTGCTTGATAGAAAATAATTTCAGAATATGTCTAATTTTGCACTACATCTAACCAATTCAAATATCTAAAACAATAAATTAAACAAGAAAAAAACTGCACTTGTGTGTCTATCTTGGACAACAATAACACCATTCTTTCTTCAACTTCCGAAATTGATGTTCACACAAAGGTACCTTAAATCTAAGCTTACTCTCAGACTCAATGTGCCTGATCATCAAACAAAGCTTCAATTTCCTCTAAGTTCTTGCCTTTGGTCTCTGGTAAGAAGCAATAGAAAAAAAGTGTGGCACACACCATCACCCCACCAAGCACAAAGAACATGCCCCCAAATGTTATTGCCTCTGAGAGGCTAAGGAATGTCATTGACACAATCCCACTCACCAGACGGTTCACAGAAATGGCCAAGCTGGAACCTTGGGCCCTTAGCCTTAGAGGAAAAATCTCTGAAGAATACACCCAAGTTGTGGGTCCAAGCCCAATAGAGAAGAACGAAACTGTAGCACACACAGCAACCACACACAAGACAATGACCCATTCATCTTTCATGCCACCCGAGAACTTAAGAAAGGTGCAACCAAAGCCCAGCACAAACAATGAAATTGCCATGCCACATGAGCCCAACAGCAACATGGGCCTTCTCCCAAACCGGTCCAAGAACATGGCTGAAATCAAAACAAAGAAAGTCTTGACTGTTCCCATGATGATTGTAACCCCCATAAGGTGCTTGTCATTCCCAATTCCTGCTTCCTTAAACACTTCAGGGCTGTAATATATCACAGCATCATTCCCAGAAGCCTGCATGAAAAAGTTAACACCAATGGCAGCAACAAGGATTCTCAATACAGGGCGAGTAGGTGTGACAAGCAACTCTTTCCAAACCCCTTGTCCATGCCACATTCCTGAATTATTAGAAGAATTAGAAGAAGAACCTTCTTTGTCCTTGTTTGTGATGGAAGCAGAAGCAGCTTCTTGTATCTCAGTAAGCCTCAATTCAGCTTCTCCTTTGTTCTCTGATGTTCTAATTAAAATCTGCTTTGCTTCCTCAAACCTTCCCTTGACTACTAGCCAGCGAGGTGACTCAGGCATTGCCAAGACACCAAGTGCCACTGCAACTGCTGGCAAGGCCGAGACACCAAGCATGAGCCTCCAATTTATGTCATTTGGGAGGCCTGAGAAAGCATAGTTGGAGACATAACCAAGTAGAATACCAACACTGATAAAGACTTCAGGAAGTGATGTAAGGAACCCTCTAGTGAGAGCAGGAGAGAGCTCAGCCACATACACTGGTGAAATCATGAGGGAGTATCCAACACCAATGCCAGCAACTACTCGACCAACCATGAGAAATAGGAAGGAAGGGGCTAACCCCATCAGAATAGCACCAATTAGGAATGTTGCTGCAGCAACCATTATGGTGTACCTCCTTCCAATCCAATCTGAAGTCCTACCTGAAGCAAGAGACCCAATCAGGGAACACACATTCAAGCACCCCACAAGGATTTCCACTTGGACAGATGTGATCTTGAGATCTTGCCTTATAAAAAGTACAGCACCACTCATCACCCCGATGTCTGCATAAACCGACACGCACAAAAAATATCAACATTAGGCACTCTTAAATATAGCTTTGCATAATTGCATCAACAATTAGAGAACTTATTATCAAATTTTCTCAATTTTATGTGGTCATGCAGACAAAAACTTCAATTCAAATTTTTAATATTTTTTGTTTTGTTCTTCAACCAGAATTAAAATTTTACTTTGATAATCCATCACATGCAATGAGAGTCCGTATTAAACAGATTACTAACAACTTTTGTTAATCAAATTAGTGAGACAAAACTCTGATTCAAGAACAGGGGCTTAAGAAACATGTTAGTTGGGAATATTTTCATTTGATAGTGATTTGATGGGGGAAATGGTAGCAGAAAGAAAATAACATTTAGGCATTGAATTCTTTTAACAGAATTCTGTAAAACTCACCATAACCTAAGAGAATGGAGTTTGTAGAAGCCAAGATAGCACCACCAAGTGCATATTTGTTGAGGTCAGACCTACCCTGTAATGTGCTGGGTTTGTTGTGAGAGCTACCTTCCTCAGCACAAGTTTCTTCCTTGTAATCATCATTGTTGTTGGGATCAGCTTTTACAGCAGAAGAAGGAAGAGGGTAATAATAATGGTGCTCCACTGCAGAATTCTCTTCCATCTTCGAGATAAGAAATGCAGAACAACAAAGCAACAGTGACTTCAAAAAATTGTAAGACAGACTCAAATGGAACACATTGAAGAAAACAATCTACAATCTAATATTAAAATTCATCAAAAAAAAAAATCTACCAATATAATAATTGTAAAAGGGATTAACACAAAGGCCAATGAGTGGTCTGACGAACATGACAGGGTTTTAAAATTTATTATATTTAAAAATAAAATAATCAGAGAAGCAAAATCTCTTCAGTAAATCTAAATAGATATTAAATTATGAAAAATGCTGATTTTGTAAGATTCAAGCAATTGACAACTATATGTTTATTTGAATCTTATAAAATCAGTTATCAACATCTAGTCATTATTTTTAAATTATTAATTTTAATTTATTGAATACAATCAAATTATAGAAGTTGTATAAATGTTAAAGTGATTAACCTTTACTAATTAGTTGGTGTAAAAAATTTCACAGTTTAAAGTTTATAGACAGAGTGTAAATAATTTCATACTCTACTAATTAAAAAGAAATTATAACACAATTATTTTTATTATTAAATAATGTTATAAAATTGGCTATAAATGTTGGGATATGGTGTCGGATAAAGGTTTGAACAGAACAGCACGTGTTTAATACTTGTTTCTCATTGGTCCCCATCAATACTCTCACGTTATTAACATTCTTGTCAATTTATTGTGTCTTTAATAAAATAAATAATTAATTATATATATAAATGAAAATAAAATTTTATAATAAAAAATTATAAATAATCTTAATATTATAGAATTTCACAACATAAGAATTATTATATTAAAAATTATAAAGTAATATAGACTTAAATTGTTTGAATTCTTCGTAATAAAATCTAATATAATTAAGGTCAAATTTATCATCTTATTTTTTTGTATATGATAACTTAAATAAACTTAAACTAGCCTTGTCATATTTGAAAAAAATCATGTGTGCAAGGTTGGTAGTATAAGACAACAAAATTTGTTATATTAAGTAATTTGGCAAATTATTAACTTCTATAAACTCCTAGTGTTCATCTCATGTTGTCAATATCACATTTTCTTGACCATATTTAAAAAAATATATATAAACTATATCATTAATATATAAAGAAACAATGTTACAAAGAAACATGGAAACAATAAAATTATATATAGTTATATATTAATAAAAATTTGTTGATATACTATGAGCAGAAATTGGGATCATGTATAAAAATACATAGATATCACTTACAATAGATAAATATAAAAAAGTTCAGACAAATCTAAGGTCAAAATTTTGTAAAAAAACATGCAAGAATAATTATTTTGTTTGATAATTATTAAAAGTAAATAAATAAAAAAATCGGACGAAAGACAAGAAGATTGTCACCTATCGATGTTACATGAAGTGTGAACACAAGTTTCGAAAAGGATATTCTCTAATTTTAATATTATATAATATTAATTCAATAAAAAAATAATCTATAAAAAAATATTTGTTTAGTATGTTCTGTTTAACTTGTTCGGACGGTGTTAATTTGTTGTCTTTTCTATTAACCTACCACCTTCTTGATGTACTGTTTTGTTTAAATTATTTTATAATTTCAAACATTTACCGTTACTACGTGTTATGCTATGTTTCTATGTTTTTTTAAGGATGATACGTGTTATACCAAGTGTTTTGAGTATATCTTGAAGAATCTTAGGATAGATTTGTCTGCTTTCTTATTTTAATTTTTGACAACACAGCATGAATTAAATTAAAGACGATATATTAAACATTTTTTCTCTATTATTGATTTTTAATTAAAACAAGTTAGAACAAAATTTAATAGTTATCCAATCTTAATGTTCATTGTCTTTGGTATCATGCAAATTCCAAGCCATATGAATATGACAAACATTCATCCACTAAAATGTTATAAAATATGTCAAAATAATAGGTACATACGAAAATAGGTTCTAAGTATGGTGTGAAAATAGGTATCGTTTTCCGGGGTATGAAAAGTTTAAAAATATATTAAATTAAAATAGTTGTAATTTAGATTAAAAGATTAATTTTGATTCTGTTACTTGAGCTCAAATATAGATTAAGCTTATTCAGAAATTGATATATAAATCATACTATAAAACTTTGTGTATAAGTTCTTTTTATGTAATTTTGATATTTATTTATATGTAAAGATAAATTAGATGGAATTGACTGTTAGGACTATTCTAATTTAAGAAAATCATAATATTGATCATATAATTAATTTACTTTTTAAATTATAAAGTGTAAATAAAAGTTATGAAATATGAGTTTTATAAGATTTTATCATTGATTTTTTTTTCTAAAATTAAATATTGAAGAATTTGTCTAAATAAAATTTTAGGATATTTTTATGTAATAATTATGATAAATATTTATGTTTATTACAATTAAAAAAAATTTGGTTTTTATACATTTTAATTGTTTTATTAAAATTTTAATCATCAAATAGGTAATTTTATATTATATAATCATGAATATAAATTTAAATGTGATCCAATAATATACAAGGAAGTAATTCATCTAAATTCTCTAAAATTTATCAAAAAAAAAAATCACAAATTTAACTATTACAATTGTACACGTTTACATTTACTGACACTACCTCATCTTTACCCAAAGAATTTGGCAGACCTTCTATAAAATCTATAGAGATATCATGTCAAACTTGACTTCGTACTACCAGTAGTTGTAATAACCCCGATGAAAGTACTATCTCATACTTTGAACGTTGGCAAATCAGAAAGTGCTTAACAAAGTTTTTGACTTGACTCTTTGCAATTGACTTCTAGTACACAATTGACTTGACTCTTTGCAAAGTAACATTGGTTCCTGAATGACATCCAGTAGATGAAGAATGTAACTAGTGTAGTATAGTCTGGCGTAAATCAGTGTTGTTACCTACCACCAACCGCCATTTCCTTCTCAACTCATTATTGCTCCAACTATAATGTTTATGCAAAACAGGATTAGTGCATAAATCTTGGGCTAATGGTTGTAAATTAGCATCCTCCGAACAAGCTTGATGAATTTTGTGTAACATATCCAAGTGCATTTGATGTATAATCAAAGGAGCACATTCCATTGTGGATCTTCTTGATAAGGCATCAGCCACCAAATTCTTCTTTCCCTGCCTATACTTTATAGAGAAATCAAACTCCATCAATTTAATTAACCATTTTTGTTGAAAAACAGTTGTTAACCTTTGATCAAGGAGATATTTTAAGCTGTAATGATCAGTGTGCACTACAAACTTGGTTGGCAATAGATAACGTCACTATTTTTGAACCGCAAAGACTACTGCGAGTAATTCTTTTTCATATGTAAAAAGATATTGTTGTTGATTGTTGAGGACCCTGCTAATAAAGGCTATCAGATGTTGGTCTTGCATTAAAATAGCTCTAATTCCCAATCTCGAAGCATCAACTTCAATAACAAAATGCTTGTTAAAATCGGGTAAGGCCAAAACGAGAGTCCTGGTCATCACCTCCTTTAACTGATGAAAAAAAATTTCTGTTAATTTTGTCCACACAAACCCCTCTTTTTTTAAAAGTTCGATCAATGGTTTAGCTATCCATCCAAATCCTTTGACAAATCTTCTATAATAGCTAACAAAGGCTATGGAACTTACCAATTGAATATAGTCTCTATTTTTGTAGGATTCGAGGATGCCCTTGTTTTGGAGATAAAATGGCCCAAATATTCTACTCTATCAACTACACAAAAAATATTTGGATTTTTTTGCCAACACAAAATATTTGGATCTTTTTGCCAACAATGAATGATCATGTAGAGTGAGATAATGTAAAGTGAGAAAAATCCATCTTAAATGACTAAGGTGATCCGCCAAACTTTTACTGTAAACCAATATATCATAAAAAAAAATACTAATATAACCTAAAAGGTTGATGGTGCATTTATGAGATCAAATTACATGATCAAATATTCATAATGACTTGCAAGTTGTACACATGAACAGCAATGTGGCTGTGCACATCTAGTACATTTTGAAGAATTCACATCTAGTACATTTTGAAGAAGAATTCTGTTATATATGAGAATAGTAAAAGTAGAGTCAGGTTTAATCTAGCAAGTCACTAATTAAATATACATTTTGTCAATATGTTCAACCGCTAAAGTTCATTGAATGCAAACAATTGTATATTTAACACTGAGAAATGGGAACAGCTGGAATTTAATATCTGTAAATAAAATAAAGCTTTTCATATTTACAGTGGCACATACAAGATTTTTCATCCTACTTAGCAATCAGTAAGAATATTCTGAGTCCAATAATCATATCATTGGTGAATTGCCCACATACTGAACAAGTTCAGAGACCCAATTCACTGCACTACCAAAGAATAGCTCCCAGAACCACAGATCCAATGCTAAGACTGAAGAAAAGATGAGCAATGCCAATGTCTGATAGCGGTTCAATGGCCAGCCTGAGGCCTTAGCAATTTTCTTCAGAAATGGAAATGAATTAGTATTTAGGTTTCTTTTCCTTATGGACCAAGCTGTTATCCACTTTACATTAGATGGGACTAAATCAAACTCCTCTCTCAGTCTCCTCCCAAGATCTGGCATGTGGCCACCCCCATAAAGTATTGCAATTCTATTGTGTCCCTTGTCCATTGCTGCTTTTAGGGCTTCTGTTGCTACTCTATTTCTCTCACCAATTATAACTGATTTCTCCTCTACATCTGCTGTCACCAGTGTGAACCTATACAAAAATATGTCATCATTGTTAATAGTGACTCAACTCAACAAAAGCAATTAATATGATTATGTCAATGCAGTCTACAAGTGAAAAATAAGGGATAATCAACGAGGACTATACTTTCAAATGAAAATGTTTTGTAGAGTATGTTATAATCTCATGACTCAACCTACAGAAACATGAATTAGCATAGAAATGTCTAAAGGTCCAAAATGATAATTGAAGACATGGATTGAAGAAATATATGTCAGTTACTGTTGAGGTGTAAAGATCGGTCAAAGATAGGGAACTTCCTCGTAAGTTCCTGGTCAAAGGAAGGCTACTTCCTTGCAACTTCCTGGTCAAAGGAAGGCTACTTCCTTGCAACTTCCTGGTCAAAGGAAGGGAGCTTCCTCTCAACTTCCTCGCAAGAAGGATTTGTTTGGCTATAAATACCTCATTTTGTAACCTCATTTGTATCCAATCCAAGTGTGAAGAAAGAGTAGAGAGAGTGTATTCATACGGGCTTGTGTGAATTGTAACATTCGGTTTATCCTCTTATTCTAGTTCATTCTCCTGGCTTGGTTCGCCCCCAGATGTAGGATTTAATCCGAACTGGGTTAACAAATATTCGTGTCTTTTATTGATCTCACATTGGTGTATTATTATTATTCCATCTTATCCGACCTTATTTCCCAACAAGCTGGTATCGAGCCGGGAGGTTGGAGATAAGATGGAGGGAAAGATTCAAGTCGAACGGTTCAATGGTTCCGACTTTGGATTACGGCGAATGCAAATGGAGGCTTACACGTACGGGAAGGACCTCTACGCACCTCTTGGGGAAAAACCCGAGAAGATGAGCGATGATGAATGGAAGGTGCTCGATCGGAAGGCGATGAGCGCTATAATTCTTTCGCTCTCTCGGAACGTCGCCTACCATGTGAAGGGAGCAAAAAGCACGAAGGAGGTCTTGCGAGATACTCGCCGACATGTATGAAAAACCATCGGCAATAAACAAGGTGATGCTCGATGAAAAAGCTGTTCAAATTGCAAATGGAGGAGCGAAAGTCGGTGGCCGATCATCTCAACGATTTCAACCAACTCACGACGCGGTTGGCATCGGTGGATATTTCGTTTGATGATGAGGTAAAAGCCACTAATCTTGCTCTCATCATTGCTTGGACGGTTGGGACGTGGTCATTACTTCGGTGAGCACTTCTTCGGCAAGGAGAAGATGAAGTTCGACAACATAAGAGATATGATGTTGAACGAGGAGACCCGCGAAATCGAGGCGGGTGGGTCGTCCGGCTCAGCCCTACATACGAGTCCGGAGGGAGACCCGAAACACGAGGGAAAATCCGGTGGGAGGTCAAAATCCGGGGAAGGAATAAAGGCAAGAAAGAGATGGTGTGTTGGAGCTGCGAGAAGCCTGGGCATATGAAAAGCGAATGCCGGGCACCAAGGAAAGACAAAGAAGGCCGGACGGCCAATGCCGCGACGGAGGACACGGCGGATGCACTCTTGTTGAGTGTGAGAAGCTCGCTCGATGGCTGGATCGTGGACTCGGGGGCCTCATTTCACTCATGCGGTAGCAGAGACATCATGGAGCCATACATCGCGGGTGATTTTGGCTTGGTATATCTTGCGGACAACAAATCCCTAAAAATTGTAGGGAAGGGAGATGTGCGAGATCAAGTCCGCAAATGGGTCATGCTTGGACCCTACGTGATGTGAGACACATTCCGGGGCTGAAGAGGAATCTCATCTCGGTTGGACAGTCTGGACAATGACGGCTTCCACACAATGTTTGGAGACGGAAAGTGGAAGGTCGGCCGAGGAGCTATGACTTTGGCAAGAGGGCTGAAGTCGGGAACGCTTTACACGGCGAGTAGATCCGAGCTCAAACATTCTCCTGGCGGGAGTTGTCTCACAATCGCACTTGTGGCACGGTCGCTTGGGCCACATGAGCGAAAAAGGAATGAAGGTACTAAAGTCGAGAGGACTTTTGCCCGAGTTGGAGTCGGTGGACGTGGGTCTCTGCGAGCAATGCGTGCTTGGAAAGCGAAGCGAGTGAGCTTCATAACCACGGAAGAGCTCCAAAGACGGAAAAAGCTGGAGCTCGTGCACAGCGACTTATGGGGGCCGGCTACGGTGACATCTCTTGGAGGATCGATGTACTTACATGACGTTCGTCGATGACTGCACAAGAAAGGTATGGGTGTACTTTACGAAAAGAAAATCCGAAGCCTTTGATACTTTCGGGAGATGGAGAGCACTCGTGGAGAAAGAGGCAGTGCGGAAGTGAAATGTCTCGAATCCGACAACGGTGGCGAGTACAACGGTGAAGCCATCAAAGAATACTGCGGCCGATCATGGGATCCGGATGCGAGAAGACGGTCCCGGGGACACCTCAACAAAATGGCATTGCGGAGAGGATGAACGGAACACTCAATGAGCGTGCGAGATGCATGCGATTGAAGAGTGGACTGCCCAAGATGTTTTGGGCGAAGCGATCAGCACGGCCGCTTTCTTGATCAGCAGGGGCCTTACGTCCCACTGAACAACAAAATTCCGGAAGAGGTGCGGAGTGGTAAGAAAGTTGATCTCTCTTTCTTACGTACCTTTGGTTGTTTGGCTTACGTTTTGAATGACGACCGGACAAAGGCTGGATGCTAAGTCAGTCAAATGTACATTCATTGGATATGGGATCGACGAATTTGGGTATAGATTTTGGGATGATCAAAATCGGAAAATTATTCGCGATCGTAATGTGGTGTTCAATGAAGGCATAATGTACAAGGACCGGAAGGAATACACGGACGATGACAAGACCATGCGGGAGTATGTTGGTCTCGATATTTCAAATACCGGAATCATGAGACAAGCGAGATTCGATGGGAGCTCGGATAGATGAGATCGAGCGTACGGAAGAAGAGGCGGAACCGGAATCGGATGAGCCGATTCTTGAGAGCGGCACGCCTCGGCATCGGGCCGAGAACAGAGGATGAGAAGGGCCCGGATAGGTACTCCCCTTCTCTTTATTACCTACTTTTATCCGATTACGGGGAACCGACTGTTATGCGAGGCGGTTAAAGATGCCCACAAGAGCAAGTGGGAGCTTGCGATGGAAGACGAGATGAACTCGTTGAAGAAGAACCACACATGGGATTTGTGTGATCTCCCACAAGGAAAGAAGGCTCTTCAAAACGGATGGGTCTATCGGGTCAAGGAGGAATCGAGATGGAACAAAACGGTACAAGGCCGGACTTGTAGTAAAGGGATTCCAACAGAGATACGGTATTGACTTTACCGATGTTTTTACACCTGTTGTTAAGTTAACCACTATACGTTTAGTGTTAAGCATCGTAGCGGCGGAAAACTTGGAGTTGCAACGGTTAGATGTGAAGACGGCCTTTACGCATGGGGATCTCGAGGAGGAAATTTACATGGTGCAACCGGAGGGATATAGAGGAAATGATCGGCGAGTGCTGTCGCCTAAAGAAGAGCTTGTACGGACCGAAACAGGCTCCTCGACGAGTGAGTACCGAAAATTCGATAATTTCATGCTTGGAGATAGGATACTCCGGGTGTAATGTCGATCATTGTTGCTATGTGAAGAAGTTCGGTAACTCTTTCATTATTTTACTCGCTATATGTGGATGACATGCGATAGCGAGGATCGGATGTCAAGGAGATCGAGAGGCTCAAAGATCGGCTATCAAGGAGATTTGATATGAAGGATCTAGGAGAAGCGAGACAGATCTCGGGCATGAAAATCACGAGGGACGAAATGCTTGGTAAACTTTGGCTTTCTCAATTCGATTATATTGAGAAGGTGTTGTGCGGATTCAATATGAATATTGCAAAGTCGGTTCGAGTGCCATTGGGAAGCCGGTTCAAGTTGTCCAACAAGGATTCGCCCCAGGATGACTCGGAAAAAGAAAAGATGAGAGTTACGCCGTATGCTTCGGCTATCGGGAGCCTAATGTACGCTATGGTTTGCACCGGCCGGACATAGCACATGCGATGGGAGTAGTCGGTCGGTTCATGAGCAATCTCGGAGTGATGCACTGGGAGGCGGTAAAGTGGATCCTTAGGTACACGAGGGGTACTAAGGGCCAGGGCATTAGTATTTGGCAGGGTACCCTTACCCTGTCTGGGTATGTCGATGCTGATTTTGCGGGAAGTGATCTTGACAAGAGGAGGAGTACTACGGGTACGTATTCACTTACGGCGGGACGGCCGTATCCCGGATCTCAAAGCTGCAGAAGATAGTCACATTGTCCACAACGGAAGGCCGAGTACGTGGCGGTGACGGAGGCGGCCAAGGAACTCGTTTGGCTGCAAAACTTCTTGAATGAACTTGGGAGACCTCAAGAGGATGTGGCTCTATACGGCGATAGCCGAGTGCAATCCATCCGGCAAAGAACCCCGCGTTTCACTCGCGAACGAAGCACATCGAGGTTAAGTATCATTTCATCCGAGCAACTTCTAGAGAAGAAGATCTTCGCAGTTGAAAAAGGTTCGGGGAGATAGGAATCCTGCAGACATGTTGACCAAGGCGGTAACTTTGGAAAAGTTGAAGGCGTGTGTAGCTTCGATTGGCCTTGATGATTAAAACAGGCGAGACTTAGCGGAACCAAGAGCGAGAGATGAACGAGGTTGACCAATCTTCAAGTGGGAGATTGTTGAGGTGTAAAGATCGGTCAAAGATAGGGAACTTCCTCGTAAGTTCCTGGTCAAAGGAAGGCTACTTCCTTGCAACTTCCTGGTCAAAGGAAGGCTACTTCCTTGCAACTTCCTGGTCAAAGGAAGGGAGCTTCCTCTCAACTTCCTCGCAAGAAGGATTTGTTTGGCTATAAATACCTCATTTTGTAACCTCATTTGTATCCAATCCAAGTGTGAAGAAAGAGTAGAGAGAGTGTATTCATACGGGCTTGTGTGAATTGTAACATTCGGTTTATCCTCTTATTCTAGTTCATTCTCCTGGCTTGGTTCGCCCCCAGATGTAGGATTTAATCCGAACTGGGTTAACAAATATTCGTGTCTTTTATTGATCTCACATTGGTGTATTATTATTATTCCATCTTATCCGACCTTATTTCCCAACAGTTACTTACTCAGATGTTAGTCTCTTTGCAAGAAAGACCTTCATTGCAGCACCAAAATCAAGCCTTGACAGTGCCTCAATTTCAGGATACTCTGATGCTTGACTTCCCACATCTGTACAAACACCTCCGATGATAAGAAGGCCAACAAGTGGCATAGGTAGTACACGTGATGCCCATAAAAGCTTGGATCTCAAAGGATCAAGATCTTCCGGAATTGAAGCTGGCTGCAATACTGCCTTTGTAGACCTAAGAGTCATATCTTTTGCAAAAGAGAAGAAGCTTTCACCTTTTTCAAGCTGAAATATAAGAATGAAGTTAGATCTGAACAAGGAAAAATAATAAAGTGCAAGTACTTAATTTTCATTGCAAGTCATTCATATTATTTGATGGTTCTTAAATGACAGTAATAATATATGAGACAGCTGAATGACACTGAATGCAACGTATGGAATAAAAAAATTGTCTTGAAAGAACAGCAACACTTCAATTACTTTATTTAGAATAGTGTTCATAATCACTGCACCATGTTGAATTATGCAAGAAAAATTAGCAGTTTAAAACCTGAAGTAATTTGAAGGTCTCATAATCAAGGTCTGCATGGTACCAATTCGAAGACTGGTAGTTGAGACAATCTAACTGGAAATCAAGTGTAAGAATTTGAGCCATTTGCCTTTGGATGCATCCCAAAATGTTAAAACCCTTGGTGCGTGAACTTTTTAACCTTTTTGTAGCGGTACCGTTTCTTCTGTTTTCTAAACTTTCTCTGCTAGCTACCATTTCATAAAGGACACAATCATAACTTTCAAGTTCCTTCTGGAGGGCCAGAAAATACCTGCTTATATAAAATAGATCATCCAAATGAATAGTAATATTGCTTAGAAAAAAACATAAAACCAAAAATAAACATATTAAGTCAGTGCAACAAAAAGCAATTAAACTTATCAAAACAAAATCTATTAGTACCCAAACCAGAAACGTTATCATATAAATGGCTTCACAAAAACTAGGAAGTTTGTCTGTACCAACAAAGCTAACAGGTTGTAATTAGTCTGGCATGCAGTTTAGCAAAATACAATCTTGCAATTGAATTTGCATATCACGATGATCATCTTGCTCATCAAGTTCATAATGAACCAACATATTTTTGAAGAAGGGGTACTAGCAAGCAAGTAACATCACTAAACAAAAAATTTACATATGCCCCTCGTCAATATTATTAATAGAAGTTCACATTGACAATACCAAAAGAAAAGATTGAATTTAATTATCAACACGCAAGGTCATTAATCTATCCAAAACGACGAAAGCTGCAAATCAGTAGTTTGTTAGACTGGCATGCATATATACATCGAAAACCACCTTCATCAAACTCTTAATTTAACTTCTTTGATTGTGACATATTTATCAAATTTCAACTTAAAATCAATTAGCATTGAACTTAGTGACGCAAGAGATACATAAGTCATTCCCGAAAAATTGAGACAAGTGGTGTGGGACTCTTCCAAACATCCCTCTCAACTAAAGAGAATTTAGGCAGGTGATATAGGATTCTCCCAACATCTCCCCTCACAACTAAGAAGATGTCTACTACAATAGATGAGATTAAAAAAAATTTGATACCATGTCAAATATCAACTTTAATTGACATTAAGCTTAGTGACCCAACAAATTGAGAGTCTCACATTGCCTATCTCAGCTTATATATTAAAATCACTTCGCTTAATGCCAATTTGTTTTAAGTTAAAATCTAACATGATATCAAAACCTTCTTAGTCTCACATTACTATAGTAGGCATCTTTTTAGTCAAGAGGGGATGTTGGGGGAGACCCATATCACCTACTTCAATTTTCCTTAGTCGAAAGTGGATGTTGGAGGAAATCCATATCACCTATCTTAATTCTCTTAGTCAAAGGGAATGTTGGAGAGAGTCCTTACATTGTCTACCTCAATTATTCAGGTACGGCATTTTAAGTTGAAATTTGACAATATCATTAGAGCTTATAGCTCTTTTTATTCTAATAGGCTCGTCTAGTTTGGTAGATATCTTGTCAAGGGAGGTGTTGGAGGGAGTCCTACATCACCTGCCTCAATTCCCAAAATACAACTCAAGGTGATGTGTGTGATGAAATCCTACATTAATTACAGATACTACCTACCAACCTCACTTGATTGAGCTGGTTTTATAGAATTGATTTAGGTAATTCTCCATTTCTAATACTTTGCTTAGTACCAATTGGTATTAAATTGAATCTAATAATAGATTCTCTTAACTATTCATCACCACCAGAATCTCATGAATTTTTATTTTTTTTCACTTCCTTTCCATTGGAAAAACAAAAATTCTCCACACATAACAAAGGTCAAAGGATAGAACACATACAAACAATTCTAGACATAAAAATAGTGAAAAACACAAATTTAACATGACTCAACAATCCTTTGAGCACACTTTATAATTGGTTAAATTTCTTTGAAAACTACAAAAATCATGAGTGAGGCTCATTAAATAAAAGTTAGATCCTTAAACTTTTTAATTTTCAATATATTTCAATCAATACCAGAGTGCATTCGAAAGAGTTGTTGCTAGCGTATCTCTCTCAACAAATACTCACTATTTCAAATAAGATTACAAGCTTTCTAAACAAACTTGAGAAAAACCTTCCCTGAAGAGCGTATACCCCTACAAACTTGAGTCTTGCTTGCTCTCAAAAGTTAAAGGAATCGTTATAACTCTCTCACACGAGAGACTCTCTGACATCTCATAGATTCACATCTCGTCTGCCCGTCTTCAGGTTGGGATTGTTCTTCTTATGTTAAGAACTATATCTAGTTGTCGTAATGAATAATGACTTCTACAGACGTCCATGATAAAAACCAATGCGTTATTTCTTACAATTCCAAAACTCACCTCCCTTGGAAATGATTGACACACATGTCAATAATCACAACCTTTCACTTATAAAATTATTTAATCTTGATTTCACTTGAGAATTAATATTTCGAAATTTGAAATTAACATTCCCAACACTTTAATACTTCTTTTCTTCACCCCCTAACAAATAACACTCCACTACAATTATGTCACTTCTAACAACTACCGCATCCAAAACACGACCAGAGTGAGAAGTTAAGAAAGACAAACACATACTCTTCATCAGCGATGTGAATTGTCGAAACCAAGTCAACCTACAACACCACCAAAAACAGTACAAATATCAGGACACAAAAAAAATCAAAACAAAGAGACCCAATTGAGAAAAAACAAGGAAGAAAGAAACTTGACAGGGACCTGAAGGAAAGGGCGCAAAAGGGACCAAGGAAACCTCTTTCTGTAGCTGACAATAGCCGTCTGTAACTCAGCACTTCCACCACCATCGACCCCGCGCTTGAACCTCATGAAATCGGCGATGGAATTATTCTCGAGGAACTGTTCCGGCGACCCATTTTCCTGCGGTGTGAAAGCGGTAGAAGAAGAAGAGGAGGATGAGGCCCTGAGGGTAGCATTGGGAAGGGGTGCTCTAGGAAACCCGAAAAGTGGGGTTTGGTTTGAGGAAGGGAAGAAGAAAGGTCTGGTTCTGGTGGGAACAGAAGTGGAAGGAGAATCGGAGAGGAATGAAGATGAAGAAGAGACAATTGAAATTGAAGTTACCACCATTTTTCTTGCCCTATGCTGTGCAACACACCTACCCACATAGAGAGAAGAGTGTTTGGATAACCAGAAAAACAGGATTTGGTTTTCCAGTCACCGAAAGCCGACCATGCTGTGTTCGGTTATTGCAGTTACCACTACCACTCACCGCTAGTGAGAAATAAAATTTTATTAAATATATGTATCCATATTTAATATAATATATATATATATATATATATATATCTAAAATACCTGTTTTTTTTTTTTGACAATTATGTGATAACTTTTAAATTTGACTATTAGATTAAATTGTACGTTAATAAAATTAAATTAAAATATCCTTAAAAAAGTGTAACATTTATCTCAATAAAAAAATCTAAATACCTTCAAAATTTAATAAAAAATACAGCTAATATTTAGGTACAAATTATATTCATTATATATACAGGTATTGATATTTTGTAGGTAAATATTTTTTTTATCGCAATTTATTTGTTTAGTTTTCCTGTGAAACACTCGAAACTAGTAAGAACAAGATGTTTTGTTGAGTGATAAAAAATCTTTGACCATGTAACCTTTTTTTGTTTTGTTTTACGTGGCGTTTGTCTTGCTATTTTCGTTTTCCTTTGTTGGATTTTCTTCGGGGAATCAAACTCTTTCTGTTTTAAGTAAAATTATCCAAGTATTTGAAATGACAGGGTTGCACGTAATGTTCTGGATTTACAATAATTTTTTCTTGAATTTTGTCAATGAGGACAAGTTCTTTTTGCTTGTTTAGATTGTGTGCTTACTTTTCAAGACGAAGTTTTGGTGAAGAATTTGGCAAAGCATGCATGTCTTATTGCTTGAATTCCACAATCTTTGACAAACCATTGATTTTGTCTTCTTCACACATGTTATTATTAAGTTTGGTTAGTTTGTGATTTTTTTTCAGGAAAAATACTTAGAAACAAGCGGGTATTTCTTCGTACAGATGTTTTTTAAATAAATTTTTAACATTAGTAACTAAAATTAAATAACTTTCTTTTTTTAACTAAAAAGTAAAATAACTTAATCATGTGTATTGATATTCCATTTGAAGTATCATGCATTGCTGCAAAAGTAAAATTTAAAAAATAAAAATAAGCATCACCAATTAACAGGTCATCAATGGTTAATATTAATGGAAATATTCTTGGACAGTCACAACGAAAGAAAGATTTCATTACTTCCCCAGAACAATGAACAATAACATATAAAAATACAATGACAGGCAGATAAAAACTGATATACAAATTCCTAAACAATATAAAGACTCGTTTGACACCTCTCATTTCTTATCACATCATCATCACTTTTCTCTCTTCTTTTTCTTTCTCTCAAGGTGTAGATTTGCATTAGGTGTCTACAAAATCTTTATTCAGATAAAAAATATAGCACAGTGCATGAATGAAGCCTATATAACATTATCAATTACAAAATACAAGGAGAAATTTTCCCAAAAGAATCGACCTATTGTGGCAGACTTATTCATATCATGCTCCTCATTGTGTAGATGTAAAACTGGTGTATCCAATGCTGAAAATTGTGCAAAGCTGAAATGAATCTCTCCAAAGTATCTGTCAGATTGCCAAAGAATGATTACTGTGTTAATAGCTGAAGGCCTGCTTCTAAATCTACCAAAGTGATGGTAAGAAGTTCTTCTGTATCCATACAGTCAAAGCTGAGCCTTAGGTCCAAATTTTCTCTAGCATTAACCAATATGGTAGCTACCAAACCACCATTTGTCTCCTTACGCTGTTTTTCTGTTGTTTCCCTTTTTATCAGTGCAGCTAAGGCTTTTATACTACAATGGGGATGCAACTTAAATCCATAAAGCAAACTATCTTCTCCTAAATTATGCATCTTAAAGTGAAGGATTTGTGCTAGTTCTTCTGAGTTGAAATCATTAAATTGGAAAAACTTGGTCACCCGTCTACAGAAACCTTCGTTCGAGCCTATCACTCGCTTCATTGGTTCACTGTAGCCAGCAAATATTACTACAATTTTGCCACTGTCCATGACAGACATAATCTCCTCTAAGGCTTCCAACCCATAGTCCTTGTCATCAGACTTTTGCATTGGTATCAATCTATAAGCTTCATCAACAAAAAGAATCCCCCCTTCTGCTTCATTGATCTGTAGCCAATGTTTTTAGTAACTTGATAAGCAATGCAGAAAATTGGTTCACAAATAGAAGGACTTCAAAGTCAATAACATACCTTCCTCCTGGTTTTTGGACCAGTGTGGCCAACAAATTCGCCAACTAAGTCAGTTCGCTGTACTTCTGTTACTTTATCTGTAGGTAGAATTCCCACCATATGGAGTAATTTTCCAAGAATCCTTGCTACCATTGTTTTACCTATTAAATACACAAGTCACACATACATGAATCTAAGAACGAAATATCATTCCCCTAAACCAATTCAGTGTTCATGCCCATATTTGGGAAGATGTAGCCAAACTGCTCAAGTAAAAAAGATGAGAATTCAATAAAAACACCGTCAATAATAAGACCCATATTTGGATAAACTTCTCAATAAACTCTTATGAGAAAAAAAAAATGGTAAAATGAATCAAGTTCTTCTCATTTCTTAAACAAATGGTAAAAATAATTAAGCTTTTTCCACAACTTCAAATCAATTATGCACTTCAACTTTAATAGAAAGTCACTCGTTTAACTTCTCCGAAGGTTATTTTAACTTGTGGGATAAGCTGAATTCGTTTTACCTTTTTCCTATAAATGTTTATTGAAAACTTAATCCAGTGGAGACTTAATATGAGTATGAGATTCTAAAAACCTGTTCCAGGGTTGCCAAGAAAGGCCATATGAGGTGGTCTTCTTGTGCCAACATGCAGGCCAAGAGCTCTTCGTCTCTCATCCAAAAGCATGCCCTTTGCCCACTTGCGTAGTTGTACCTTTAGATCATTAAGACCCACAATATTGGATAGTTCCTTCTCAAGCTGGTCCATTTTAGCTTTGGTTTCGCCGCAAGCTTCAATGGCTCGTCGTTTCCTCTGCTCTTCAAGATGCCAATGTAATAGTTCCCTAAGTTTCTCAGTTCCAGGCCCTTGGGATAGATGATTTAAAGGAGTCATTCCCTCCTGCAATTCATTGGCTTAAGCATTTATGACCATTTCATCAAAAATGTTAAAACAACAGAAAAAACAAGTAATGTTTCATTACATCATCCTTAGCACTGCAATCAGCATTGTACTCAAGCAATGTTTTCACAGTTAAGAATTCCTCCGCCCGCAGTGAGTACCAAACAGCAAGATGTAAAGGAGTCATACCATTCTGCGTGAAAAAGTTTGGAACAATCTTTTATATGTACTATAAAGCATAAAAGTAATTGTTGCAAGGTTTAAACAAAATTAAATGACATAGGAAGTGACAAAAAAAATCACATTTGCTCTGGCTTCAACAATAGCACCACGAGCTAGAAGTAATTGTGCGGCTTCATTGCACCCATTCTTTGCTGCCATGTGCAACGGAGTTTCTCCATACTGAAAGAGTGATAAAAGAAACCTTTTCAGAACTACAAGGTTATTACTGGAAGTCTAGATTCAGCATATTTTACATATTTATATTCTAAAAACAACTTGAGTTAGAAAAACTTGACGAGTACCAACCATATTCTTGGCCTCCATCTCAACCCTATCTGGCCCTTGCCAATCAAGAAGAAATTTAACTATCTCTGTCCTATTGTTACCAGCAGAGACATGAAGTGGTGTCTGTGCCATCTGCATTTATAACAGATGAGATCCTCAGGCATAAACAATATAAGAGAATATATAATATGAAATGCTATAAAGTAAGAAAATCAATATGCCAGCATAAAGATTATAGACAAGCCAAGCAACAAGCTTATTTACAGATGAACTACACCCCACCTTTTCAAAACCTTGATACTAAAATCTCGAAACTACATAAACCCCAAGATGAAAACCCAACAGATGATCATCAAAGAGTCCTTTACCATGACAAGCCTAAACATATAATCTACCCGTCCAAAAAACCAACCCAATTCCTCTTCAACCTGAATACACCCAGGAGGAATGTCATGAAATGCAATTGTCAATATGCTGTAACACCCTGAGCCTGAGCAATATCCATTGTACGTTACCCTATTCGATATGCATGCCTTTCAATTCTTAATGTAGCTGACATATTGAACACAAGGGGCGCCAGTATAGCAAAAATGAGGATCAAATCTTACTAGAGTAGTACACTCAAGGTAATTCCAACATGAAATCGATATCTTTTCCTACCACCCCACTAAGTCTACACTTTCATAAGAGCACAAGCCCACTATTTAACCATACAAGTAAGCATATCACCCCCGGTTGGTAAAGTCATCATGAGTCATAACCAAGCAGATCTGAGAGGCACGCGTATAATTCCAAACCATCAATTCCCAAAAAACATGAGAACTGAAAATTGCATGACCCACCAACAGCAGCACAAGCTTCTCCACATAAAACATCAGAAAGATCAAATTTTTAAAGTTTACTGAGAAAAAAAAAAATTGGAGACACCCAGTTAGGGAAAATGGGATCTTACAACAGGGTTTCTCTCATTGAGTAGAGAAGGGTTATCTCGAAGTAGCCTCTGGAGTCCGACGAGGTCACCGGAGAGGGCGCAGCCATGGATGGTGACTGGCTTGGCTGGTCTTGAGCGTGGTTGATCCTGAGACCTGATGACGTTGTTGTTCATGCTGAATTGAATCGGAAAGAAGAGAGAAAAATATGGCTTGAAAAGATTTTAGAGAGAGAAAGAGAAAGGTATTGTGGGGTGTTGTGGTGTGAATTTATTTTCAGCTAAATATTCGCCATGGAGCGTATGGCTTTCAGGATTCCCCGCGTCCTATTCTCACGCTTTCTCAATCCTCTGCCAATCTTCCTTCCTCTTTTTTTCCTTTGATCTTCCTTTCTCTTTTTTCTCAATGCTAACTTCTTCCCTAATAAAGTGTGTTAAGATCCTCTTAATGGATTTTTTCTTTTGATAATTACTATATTATAACTTTCATTGTTTTTAACCTTGATATGTAAGTTTGATCTTTCCATTTTTTTTTACGAATTTATTCTCTAAATTTCAAAAAAATTATATTTTTATATTTTGATCAATTAAATATTTTAATAACATTTTAAATGAATATATGAAATCAATATTTTAATGACTAAAATTATATATTTTTAAACTTTAAAGACTAAAACTAGACACAAAATTAGAAGAAATAAATGTTGGCAAATTTTAGGTCATGTATATATATATATATGATACATATTTAAATGTGTTAGAGGTCATTATTTATTAAGCCAAATAATAAAATGAAATTTGAATAAATTAAAGTTTTCTTAAAGGCATATGTCATGAAAATATGATTGTGTAGAGACCATAGAGTAATTTCTAATTTGATGAGGGGCCAAATTGAAAATACTAAAACTTAAGTAATTAACCTAATTTTGGTTATTTAAAGGGTCATAGTCCCTTTTGAGGAAGCACGTAGACGAACGAAGTTACAGTCTCGTTCCTTTCTTTCTATCCCATCAAGAAAGAAAATCAAGAGGGAAATATAGGTGCTCTTCAGGAGAAAGACCTTAAGATCAAATCAAAAGTGCTCTACAAAGAATATCGTCATTATGGTCAATTCAGGTACGCTTTCGCATTTAGTTTATAACATGTTTACAAAATGGGATTATAGATATGTTTGATCATTAGAATGAATATCATATTCAATTACAGTTTAACCTAACAATTGGTATCAGAGCAACCCATACTTAATTATGTTTGTCTTTAGAAATTACATTTAACAAAATTCAGATTCTGGCTAATTAAGAACCCTGAGTGGAGAATAATCTCCAATTTTTATAAACCCTAAATTTAAATTTGGGGTAAATTCCCAAATTTTAAACCTAGTTTCGAATTTGAGGGTAAAACCCCCAAACTCCTCCTGCACCATCGTCTTCCACCTCGCCGCCCTCGTCGAACCCTGGCTTCCCGATCCCTCCAATTTTTTCTCTATCAACGTTGGAGGATTGAAAAACGTGTTGACGGCGGTGAAAGAGACTCGCACGGTGGAAAAACTCCTGTATACGTCATTTTTTTTTTCGCTCTCGGACCAACTGTCAGAGGCATTGCTAACGAGAATCAAGTCCATCACGAGAAGTATTTCTGTACGGAATATGAGAAATCAAAGGTCGTTGCGAATAAGATTGCGTTGCAAACTGCGTCGGAGGGGGTGCCAATAGTGTTACTGTATCCTGGAGTAATCTATGGGCCTGGCAAGGTCACTGCAAGAAACGTTGTTGCGCGAATGGTATACAACATTTGGATTCAATTATGGTATATGACAATTTATATATGATTGAATTACCACGGTTTGGGTTTGTTCAATCATTTGCGGCATTCTTAAATACATATAAAAAAAAAGTGATCAAACTTTATAACTTGGAGTTTGTGCAATTGATATAGTCACGGTCCTCACGATTCAAAGACTCTCTGATGAGAGGTTTGTAGAATTTTGGAGCAATTGTCACATTTGCTATATTCGGCACCTTTATAGCTTCAATTGTTACTGGAGTTCTTTGCTAAGGCGAGAGGAGTATATATATTTGATTTTATTATATAAATAAAATATTAATTTGTTTGGTAGTTTAATATTTTTTTGAGCAAATTGAGTCAAGAAGTTACCAAAGTAACATCTCTTGAATTGGGTAGTTCGTGTAAATATTAAATGTTAGTGTTTGTGTATATTCATGCGAGTATTAGTCGACCTCAAAGGAAGATTAATATTTTGCCGAATTGCATATACACTTGTAATGATAAACATGTGATAATTATAAAGATTTGTTTTGTCGATGATAAATCAATCCAAAGACTCGGTTTGTTGTTGGACGTGCTTTATTGTCAATGTTTGATTATTACAACAAGATACCTCTAGCGAGTTAATATTACTCGTCCAAAGACTTGATATTGATGGTGCATTGGGTGTCTTGAGATGGGTTAAACCATTATTTGGATATATATTTTATTTATAATTATTTATTTTTTTATAATGTGAGCATAATTAATTTATTTCTCTTGTTTTTAATTTAGCAACAATTGTTTCTATATCTCGCCAATTTAAATTATGTTCAGATCCTCAAAAGTATGTTTCCTATTTTGGTCTGTTTTGAAGTCAATTTAGCGTCGATACCTAGTAACACTTGGTGGTTAGAATCAGGTGCAACTACTAACATCAGTGTTTCTATGAAGGGTTGCCTAAGCTACCGGAAGTCAATTGATTCTGAAAGATGGATATATGTTGGAGATGGCAAATCGGTAGAGGTGGAAGCTATAGGGCATTTTAAATTGTTATTAAGTACTGGTTTTTATTTGGATTTGAAAGACACTTTTGTTGTGTCGTCATTTAGACGGAACTTGGTTTCAGTTTCTTATCTGGACAAATTAGGTTATTTGTGTTCATTTGGAAACAATAAGTTCGGCTTTGTCTTTTAATTCGAGATATTATTGGAACTGGTTCACTTTTGCCTTATGATAATCTGTATTTACTTGATAATGTGACCACCTATAATGAAACCCTTAATACAGAATCACGGGGTACTAAACGTAAAATTGATGATACTCACTCAGAAGCATTATGGCACAGGCGCTTAGGTCACATCTCTAAAAATAGAATTGAACGACTTGTGTCAACTGGAATTTTAGAGTCCATTGACTTCACAAAATTTGATGTTTGTGTTGAATGCATTAAGGGCAAACAGACCAAAGCGAAGAGATTAGGTGCATATAGAGCTACATACGTCTTAGAGCTGATACATATGGACATTTGTGGGTCATTTCCTACACCTTCGTGGAATGGTCAACAATACTTTATATCATTCATAGACGATTACTCACGATATGCATACTTATTCCTTATACATGAAAAGTCACAATCTCTAGACGTGTTCAAAACATTTAAAGCTGAAGTTGAAAATCAACTCAATAAAATAATTAAGTCTGTCAGATCTGATCGTGGTGGTGAGTACTATGGCAGATTTGACGGGTCAAGTGAACAACGTCCAGGACTTTTTGCCAGGTACCTAGAGGAGTGTGGAATTGTCCCACAATATACCATGTCGGGATCACCTAGCATGAATGATGTAGCTGAAAGACGAAACCAGACTCTTAAAGATATGGTCAGGAGTATGATTTGTCATTCCACCTTACCAGAGTCACTCTGGGGAGAGGCACTAAAAACGGCAGCTTATATTCTGAACAGAGTACCAACTAAAGCAGCGACCAAAACACCTTATGAGCTTTGGACTGGGCGACGGCCTAGTTTGAAGCATTTCCATGTGTGGGGTTGTCCGAGTGAGACAAGGCCTTATAAGCCAAATGAAAAGAAATTGGACTCCCGAACAGTAAGTAGTTATTTTATTGGTTATGCTTGAAAGATCCAGGGGATATAAATTTTATGATCCCACATTAAAGACAATTTTTGAGACGGGAACTGCTACGTTCTTTGAGGATATTGAGTTTGGGGGGAAGAATAAAATCGGGAACTTTGTCTTGGAGGAAGAATCGAGTAACAATTCCGAAGCCGATTCAAACGAGTTACTTTTGATAAAGTAAGTTCGGAACCTCCACAAGGCATTGTTAATGAACCCCTTACTCAAGATGATTTGGTTGTTCATGAAGAACAAACTCAAGATCCTCAAGAACCCGTGCATCATGAGCCAATAACTTTGCGGAGATCCACTAGAGAAAGAAGAAGTGTTATTTCGGATGATTACATGGTATTTCTTCAGGAACATGAGGAAAACAATGGTATGATGGAAGATGACCCAGTTAACTTCCGTCAAGCCATGCAAGGTTCTAACTCTGAAAAGTGGATTGAAGCAATGAAGGAGGAGTATAAGTCCATGCAAGACAACAAGGTTTGAGAACTTGTCCCATTACCAGAAGGTATGAGACTCATTGGTTGCAAGTGGATATTTAAGACCAAACGGGATTCTAAAGGTAATGTGGAAAGGTATACGGCTCGTCTGGTAGCTAAGGGCTATACCCAAAAGGAAGGGATTGACTTTAAAGAGACTTTCTCTCCAGTTTCATCGAAAGACTCTTTTAGGACAATCATGGCTCTTGTAGCACATTATGATTTGGAGTTTCATCAAATGGATGTCAAGACGGCGTTTCTTAATGACAACATTGATGAGACGATTTATATGGTGCAACCAGAAAATTTTGTGCAGGGAGATTCAAAGAGTATGGTTTGCAAACTGAAAAAATCCATTTATGGACTAAAACAAGCATCTCGTCAATGATATTATAAATTTCATCAAGTAATTCTCTCATTTGGCTTCGAGATGAATATTGTTGATGATTGTGTATATCACAAGTTTAAGGGGAGTAAGTATATTTTCCTGATCTTGTATGTTGATGACATTCTACTTGCCACTAATGATATAGACATATTGCACGAAACCAAGAAATTTTTATCAAAGAATTTCGAAATGAAAGATCTTGGTGATGCGTCTTTTGTATTAGGAATTCATATACACCGAGATCGATGTCGGGGTATTTTAGGATTATCACAAAGGAACTATATCGAAAAAATTCTTAAAAGGTTTGGCATGCATGAATGTAAATCCGGGGATACTCCAGTTGCTAAGGGAGACAAGTTTAGTCTCAATCAGTGCCCAAAGGGAAATTTGGAAATTGAGGAAATG